GCTCAGCCAGACTGTGGCCTGCCACCTATTCCTGTATGGCCGTAAGCTGAGGGTGGCTTTTATACTTTGAAGCAAAGCGTTCAAAACCATTCTTAGCTTGTAGGCTGTACGAAAACAAGCGGCAGGCCGGATCTGGTCCTTGGGCCATAGTGGACCTGGCCCTGATGTCCCATGGGCCTCCTGGGCCAAAGGTGGACATCTCGCAGGATAACCTCTCACCTTCCCGAGGCACTGTCAGCCCAGTGGAGGGAAAAAATGGGGAGCTTTTGTTTGGGGGGGTGTGCTGCATCTTCCTCATGACCACAACTGGTCAAGTCCCAGTTCTGGCTACTGACCATTGCCCCACCTAGTAAGGAGTCCCTGGTTCCTCTGGAGAGGCCACACTTAGTCTGGGGTCGGAAAAGCTGGATTCGAATCCTAGCTCTCCTGGGCGCTTAATGGTCTTGGGCAAGACCTTTCCCCCTCCCGAGCCTCATGGAGTTGTTGTGCAGAAATTTGTAAATTTGTAAGTCTGGGTTCTCTAGAAACATCAGGTATCATTATGAACTTGTTGCCAGTGTTTAGATGGGGTCCAGATAGAAATGGCGGTGGGACAATCCACCAGCCTACTATCAGTCTCTCCTGTTTGATATTCTATTGAATATGTGGATAAAATAATTCCTTATTGTGATTGACGAAAAATATAAGGTTAGGAGCCCAGAGTTGAGGGTCAGGGAGAGCGTCCTAGGATCAGCCCCCGTGACAGACAGACAGACAGTGGGGGTGACAGGCGCGTAGTGCATCTCCCTGGTTCAGTCTCTGTGTGTTCCATGTAACTTGGGGGACCTGAATAGTTGGCCTGGTGATGACCACTTAAAACATCCTTCTTTGTTTTTTGTGAATTGATGAGCCATCGTGGGCAGTGGGACAATTTGTTGGCTGAGGTCTCCAGAATACTTTTGAGATCTGAGATGGATGTCACTGCACAGCTTTTCAAAAGTCAGTGACAGAAGATAGAAGCAGGAGCAGCCAGTGAAGTGAGCCCAGGAGCCCAGAGCAGAGGGTCAGAGGGCCAGAGGGCGGCCTGTGTGGAGCTCAGCGTGAGAAAGCTGAGGGCGGCAAAGAGGGAGAGGTGGATGAAGGGGTGGGCCTGAAGCTCCTGCTGGACTGGGCAGAGAGAGCTGGTGATGCCAAGAACGCTTCCTTTGGTGGGGGGAGGTGCTCTTTGGATCAAAACAAAAAAGGCTAATAGGAATCTGCCATCAAGGGTTTATTGGGCTGTCATGACTGGGCCCCCAGGCCAGCAGAACTCCATCCCGGGGTCCTGAAAGGTCTGGCAGTTGCAGGTCACCGCTGGGCCCCTGCCACTGACCTTGGAGGGATCATGGAGGGTCAGGGGAGTGCCATGGCACTGCCATAGCACAGACATCTCCAGTTTTCCACAGTGAGAAGAAAGTAGAATCTGCAGACTGGAGGCCAGTGATCTTACCTTTGTTACTGACCAAATTCTACAGCTTCTTAAGAAGGTAGTGACCATAGAGGACCAACATTACACACTTCGTCCAGGACAGGACAGGCTCTGGTTACCCCGGCTCCTCCTTTGCCCGCCTGGCCGTGTTGGTGGATCCAGGGGGTTCTTGCAGGTGCAGCCTCCCCCGGGGGCCCGTCAGGCTACTGACAGTCTCTCCTGCTGTGCTTGTGGACACTGGAGAGATGGGACTAGACAGGAATGCAGTGAGTGCATTTGGACTCTCAGAGGGTCATGCGTGGTTTCAGTTGGCCTAGAAGGAGCTCTCCCATGGAGGTCTCCAAGGATCTGGGCAGAGCCCTGGGCTTTTTTGGTGTTTTTGTGAGTGATGTGATTAAGGAATAGGTGGTGTGCCTGTGAAGTTCACAGGTCACCGAAGCCTCAGAGCATTTAAGATTGAAAATGATCGGGATGACCGCTGCTGATGTTTTTTGGGCCAAATCGAGTGAGAGAGATTGAATAGGGATGAATGTCAGTGTTCACACTTGGGCTTAAAGAAACCAGCCTCAGAAGTGTAAAATGGACGTTGATCTGAAAATGTCCAGGGGGCTTTAGTTAGCTGTAGCTGAATGTGAAGTCACAGCAAGAGGAGGCTTGGTGGTGCCCAGGCCCCCACAGGAGAACACGTGGGGCAGCGTGCACCGCCATGTTCGGGGAAGCCCCTCAAAGTTACACCACGCAGAGGTCATTGGAGGGAACTAAGGATGCTCAGCCTGGACAAGGGAAGAATCCATGGGGCACAAGAACTCCTCAGGGCTTTGAAGGGCTGTCAGCTGTGAGGCAGTTAGATTCATTCTGCTGTGTGCAGAGAGACAGGCAGACAAGCTTGCTGCTGAGCAGAGCTTCCTCAGGAGCTCGCGGGTTCCTCCTCAATGGAGGTCCCCATGTGTCAGCTGACAGTCATCTGTCTTACAAAGTGTAGTGAGATGACTTGGACCAGATGGCCTTCCCGCTGGGAGATGGAGACAAACTTTTGGAGGCCAGCTATGCCCTGGGTACCTCCTAGATGCGAAAGGCCTTGTGCCTTGTGCATCCTGAGGAGACTGAGCAGGAGTAGCCCTGGCCTGTGCCCCCAAACCCCTAATTGGGAGACCCCAACTGACTCCCCCAACCCAGGGCCACCTTGGGTAGAGATTGGAGCTGGGGGAAGGGCCATAGTGGGCCTTGAGGAGGTAGAGAGAGACTCCAGCTGGGCCCCAGAAGGCCAGGAAGGACCCCTGCCCATCCAGCCGTCTCCCTGCCCTTGGGCATAGAGAGCCTGGGACAGTTTTCCTCTCAGGAAGTGTTCTCAGACTTCTTGTCCGGGCTTCCTGTTTCCTGGGAGCACTACCCCAGGGGAGCCTGCCCAGGGTGGGGAACCTGTGGCCTCGAGGCCACATGAGGCCTTCTAGGTCCTCAAGTGTGCCGCCCTTTGACTGAATCCAAACTTGGAGACCACAGGTTGCCTGCCCCTGCTCTGGAAGCTCCAACCGTTCTAGGTGGGATGGAAAAGCCTCCTCCTTGCACTTCTCCTGCCCTTCTGCCCCGTACTTTCAGGCTCCTGCTTTTATAGGGCCCTTCCTCCCTCTTGTTTGTGTTAGGGGCCTGGCCCTCACTGCTGATAAGGCCTGCTGGCTGGGGACTTTTGGGGGAAGGGCCCTCAGAGACCCGTAGCTGGTATGGGAAGGGTGGGAGCTGACTTTCCTGGACTCAGGCTGGGAATACACAAGCCAGAGTGACAGCTGTCCCAGAATCCCATCCCAGGTGGCATTGATCTCTTTTGACAGGAGTAAGGTCTTGATCTTCCTATAAAGTGGCCTTGGGCTGCCAAGAGCCTTGTCGTCTAGAGGAGCTGGGGTGCGTATCAGGATCTTAGAGCTGAGACAGGCTCCAGATCAGCAGGTGGGAGCCTGGAGGCCCGGGGCGGGGGGGGGGTGGAGACACTCTGGAGTGATAGGGAGCTCTCTGTTCCTTTAAGCTGAGGGTTTGGTCGCCAGGGGGGTCCTATCTGGAAACCCCAGGAGGGCTCTTGGGACCCAGAGGTCTAGGAGCAGCCTGGAGGCTGAGGCGTGGTGCCTTTGGGTGGGTGTCTGAGGTCAGTGCACTAGGGTATGGGGATGAGGCTTCTGTAAATATACTCCACCCACGCAGTTCCTCTGTTTGTGTCCATCTGTCCAGCTGCAGACGGGAGGGGGCACTAGGACAAATATCCGGAGGTGTGGCTCCCCCAGTGACAGTGGGGGGCTCGCTCTCCCTCCGATGGGGCCGAGAAGGGGAAGGGAAGAAAGGGGAGCGGAACTGCCTGGCAGGAGGTAGATAAGTTGGCAGGCTGGGCCCCCTTGGCACTGTGTTTATTTGGAACTTTCACTGGCTGGCCTGAGCAGGGAGTGCCCAGCCAGACCCCAGGAGTACGCTGAGGCTAGCCACGTGATGTCCCCGCCAAGCCTTTCTGCCTGCCCGCTTTCCCCCACATGTGCCTTCCCCAGGACAAACTGGTGTTCTCTTTACCATCCTCCCCTTGCCTGGCCCTTATTTCCATCCCTAGGGACATGGGCTCAGCCACAGTGACAGTCATGGCAAAATGCTTTGAGAACTCTTTTCTGGGGACTGAGGGGGCTGACTGTAGCCACAAGGCCTACAGGGGACTGATGGCTGGGCCTCAGAACAGAAGGGGAGGGAGGTTCGGTCAGGGCTGGGAAGAAAGTCTGTGGCCCTCTCCTGGGGGCTGTGCCATCCCTGCCCACCGACCCCCCCCCCCAGCTCACTGACCAGTCAGGACAGGCCAGCTCTTAGTCCTTCCTTCCCTGGGCCTAGCCTGCCCCACCCCCCAGCGGCTCCCACAGCCAAACCGGTTCTCCAGGATGTTGCTGCTGCTGGGGGCCTGCATTGGGCACGGACTGGCAGGAGTCTGGGATCAGTGGCAGGGACTGAGAGAGGCCCGGGCTGGGCCACAGGAGAGGGCCACTGCTCTGCCTGGGACCTGACAGCAGCACAGACATGTGGACGTCCACGGGCACACACACCTGTGCACACGTGCACCAACATGGGTGGACTGCATCCCAGGCAGGCACATGGGTGCTCGGAGGCTGGCGAAGATGCGGCCCCAGCTGCCCTTAAAAGGAGGCATGTGAGGGGGAAGGCACTCAGGCTGCCTCTCCCCCCAGGGTGGGCTTGGGGGCACTGGTGGGTCCTCGTCTGGGTGTCCAGCCCAGCTCAAGTGTTCCTTCCCCTTCCCACTCTGACTCTTGACACTTGCCTGAGGTTCTCACATCGTAGGGTGGGGTGGGCTGGGGTGCAGCTTAATGATGGCTCAGCCAGGACCCTTCGGGCTCCTCATCTATAAAATGGAGCTAGGCAAGCCCTGCCTCTGGCCCTGACCCCTGTGATGTCTCCAATAAGAGACAGTCAAGGGCTTTGAAAGGGAGGCTTGGCCTTGACCTCGTGAGGATGGGGCTATGCTGTCCAGCCTCTCCTGGAGGAAGCACCCCAGTGATTCTCCCTCCCTTGCCCACAGGCCTGGTAGCTGGGACACGGTGACGACAGCCTGCACACCATGTTTGGGGAAGAAGAAGAAGAGGCTGGAGATCTCAGCCCCATCCAACTTCGAGCACCGCGTGCACACGGGCTTTGACCAGCAGGAGCAGAAGTTCACAGGGCTGCCTCGGCAGTGGCAGGGGCTCATCGAGGAGTCGGCCCGGCGGCCCAAACCCCTCATTGACCCTGCCTGCATCACCGCCATCCAGCACGGGGCCCCTAAGGTAGGCGTGTGCCCTGGCTCCCCTATGCCCCTGCTGGGCCCAGCCCAGCCCCCCAACTCTGGTGACCACAAAGGAGGGGCCCCTGATCTGTCAATACCGTGCCCACCAGTCGTTGGAACTAACAGGTTCCCCCCGTCCCCTAACACCAACTCTGGTAGCTTGTAATGGGAGCCCCTGCCCCGAATCTCAGGCCTTCGTGGATGACGTGTGCCTTCCTGTGGGCAGGCTTGTCTGAAGGAAAGGGCACTCACAGGATTGGGGATTCCCCTCTGAGCTTCAGTTTACTGTCTGTAAATGGGATGGTCCCAGTCTTGGTTCTGTCTGCTCCAGGCTCTTTATAATCCTTGAAATATATTTGAGGTCATAGTTATCATCCCAACCCTGGTGCTCTGTTAGGAGCAGATGAGGAGGTCCATTTCAGAGATGAGCCCACTGAGGAGGGTGAATGACTTGTCTGTGGCCATACAGCCAGTGATGTTGGGGGCAGACTTTGAACCCAGGTCTTCTCTACTGGGGCCCAGCCCTTCAGCTACCATCCCTGCTGCTCTCCTCCCTTTGCCCTTCCTCCCATCCCTTAAAATCAGCCCCCAGGGACTCAACGGGGGAGAAAATGGCCGGCACCAGGATGAAGTTGAGCTCTGCCCAGGAGGTCAGAGCTGGCCCGCCCTGGAGGCCACACCCCTCCCCTCCTCCCTCCCCCGGGCCTGGGAGCCTTTCCCAGGGTGCTACTGGTCCTGACCAACCAGTTCTGTCAGGTTCAGTGGTTCTCTTCCTGGGCCGGCCCTGCCCCAGCCTCAGGCCCGCGTGGTGAGCCAAGTTCTTGCCACTAAATGTGTCTGTCCATGTCTCTGGGGCCTTGGTTATGCAGCCCAGCCCAGTGGATGTCCCTGGTGTAGACCCTCTGAACGTCCATTCCCCTCCATGCTGTGAGCCTTCCACTGCCATCTCAGGCCCCTCCTCGGAAGCTGCTCCTCACCCTGCCCCCCATCATCATGTGGCTGAAATCAGAGGGTGAATGTCTGCCTGCTCCAGGCAGGGAGACCCCTCAGCCAGGCCCTGATCCTCACCCAGCTGCTCCCTGTAACTGGGGGCCTTTGGAAGCTCGGGTGCCCACTGCCCCCCCCCACAGAGACAGGAAGCAGGGAGGAAGGGGAGGAAGAGGGCGATGGACACAGTGAATCCCAAGGGTCCAATAATCCTGCAGCACAGACCTGGAACTGCCTGAGGTCCCCTCCAGGCTGCGGGTGGGCGGGCAGTGGTCCTGCTTCTGCAGGGGCTCTGGGGAGACCCTTTGGGCGCTGCTTTCCCTGCCAAGTGTACCCATTTCTCAGAGGGCCATGTCATTGCCATGTGACATCTCATTCTCCGTTTCTGTGTTGTCTCTGTGCACACGCGTATTCCATTGTGTCACTTCCCATGTTGGATGCACGCTCCTCTCCTACCACCTCCTCCACGTCCTGACCCTTCCTGCTGGCGAACCCTAAGACCATCGTTCGGGGGAGCAAGGGCTCAAAGGATGGGGCCCTCACGCTGCTGTTGGATGAGTTTGAGAATATGTCCGTGATCCGCTCCAACTCCCTTCGGCGGGATAGCCCTCCCCCGCCCCTGCTGGGTCCTCCAGCGCCACACCATGCCCCACCTCACCAAGAGAACGGGCTAGCTGACGCCCAGGGGACCGGGGCTCGTGCCTGGGCCCAGGAGAAGGGACACCCGGAGTCTGGGGGCAGGGGTCCCGCAGAGGGTCGGAGTCGAGCAGCTGGGCGCAGGGACCATGGTGGCAGCGGCGAGGCTAAGCGGGACGGGACGGAGAAGAGGCCCAAGTCATCAGGGGAGGGAACTCCGGGCCACCCAGGGAGCCCCCAGCCACCCCGGGACAAACGACCCCTGTCGGGGCCTGACGTCCGGACCCCACGGCCCCCAGGTCCAGGAGGTGGGGTGAAGTCATCGGCCGGAAGGCCGTTTAACACGTACCCGCGTGCTGACTCGGACCACCCCCCAAGGGGCACAGGGCCCCAGGTAACCAAGGCAGCCCCTCTCTCCACAACTCCCACTGCCCATTCCCTCTGCAGTGTCTTCCAAAATCTCCCCACCCCGAATGAGAGGCGCTGCTGTTGCCTCCAGCGTCCCTGTTCCATCCCTTCCCTTCCCCTCCTTCATCTCTCATCTGTTTGTTCACCATCAGCCAGGGAGTCTGGGGCCCAGAGGACTCCCTTCCACTGCTCCAGGGTTGGAGGGCTTGGGGGAGCTCTCTGCTGACCTGGCACCTCTCTCTTTTTCGTTTTAGGGAGAGCCCCATAATCCTGCCCCTAATGGTCCTTCTGCAGGAGGCCTCCCTCCACACTCCTCCTCCAAGCCGCTGCCCCGTGCTGCCCGGGGCCCAGAGCCTGCCCCCACCCCGGGTACCCTGAGCCCCCACGCTTCAGAACCCCAGCTGGCCTCTCGTGTGCTCCCCCCTCCTTCAGCCCAGCCGGCCATACCCCCATCTGGACCCCGCTCTCCCCAGAGGGAACCCCAGAGGGTATCCCATGAACAGTTCCGAGCTGCATTGCAGCTTGTGGTGGACCCGGGCGATCCCCGGTCCTACCTGGACAACTTCATCAAGATCGGTGAGGGTTCCACAGGCATTGTGTGTATCGCCACGGTCCGAAGCAGTGGCAAGCTGGTCGCTGTGAAGAAGATGGACCTTCGGAAACAGCAGCGGCGAGAGCTGCTCTTCAATGAGGTGGGCAATTATCAGGATGAGGGAGGGCCCCCGGGGGGAGGCACCCATGGAGACTGAATCTGGGCCCCTCCAGGTGGCATTGGGGCCCTCCCCAGTCAGGTGCCCTCCAGGCTTGCCTGGCTTCCAGGCCCTTCTGGACTCCGGGCCTACTGCTCGGCCCCTCCCTCCATCCTCTTGTCACACAGAGCCCCAGGCCTTCATTCTCTCTGGACATATACCAGCCTTGTGCCCGCTGGCCTCTCCAAGGCAGGCCATGGCTGTCCCTGATGGGGCCTGGAGCAGATGAGACAGTGTTGGGGAGCAGGTGGGCCCCATTTCTCCCATTCCCCCGAGCCCCCTGACCAGGGTCCCTTGGGTCCCCTCCCGCCCTCTCTCCCAGGTGGTCATTATGCGCGATTACCAGCACGAGAACGTGGTAGAGATGTACAACAGCTACCTGGTTGGGGACGAGCTCTGGGTGGTCATGGAGTTCCTGGAAGGGGGAGCCCTCACGGACATTGTTACTCACACCAGGTATTGTGGGGCCAGGGCTGCCCTGCTTCAGCACCCCCAGCCTTTCCCCTTCCTCTGGGGTGGGGGGGCTCCTGAGGCTGGGCATGGCCTGCCCCTCAGGCAGGGGTCTCAATGTTTTCTCCAGGATGAATGAGGAGCAGATTGCCGCTGTGTGCCTCGCTGTCCTGAAGGCTCTGTCTGTGCTCCATGCCCAGGGCGTGATCCACCGGGACATCAAAAGTGACTCTATCCTGCTGGCCCATGATGGGCGGGTATGCCAGGGGCATGTCGAGAGGCTGAGAAAGCCCCCTCCCCAGTAGCCAGACCGTTTGTCAGTGCCCTCAGTACATGTCATGGCCCAGGGGAGTCCCAGGGGCTGGGGAGGGAGGAGTCCTGAAAAGATCACCAACCCATTGTGGATTCTTTGGGCAAATCCAGGGGTCTAGACTTACAGCCTAGAACAAGGACAGTGGGTCCTTCCCTTTGGCCCTGTGGAAGGGGGCGGGTTCCTGGTGGGCTCTTTGGAGACAGCATGGTGTGCTTAATTGGGTTTGAAGCCAGGAAAATCTGGGCTCAAATCTCACTTGAGCACCAGGTGCCCCAGATCTGAGCCTCAGTCTCCTCATCTGTGAAATGGTGACAAGGACACATGTCCCTGCAGTGTGTGCCAGGGACTTTGTGACCCTCCCGTCCAGCCACGACTCTGCCAGGAGCTGCCTCTTGGCTTCCTCTGACTCTCCTCCTCGGTCCGTTCCTCCCCACAGGTGAAGCTCTCTGACTTCGGCTTCTGTGCCCAGGTGAACAAGGAGGTGCCTAGGAGGAAGTCCCTGGTGGGCACTCCCTACTGGATGGCCCCTGAGCTCATCTCCCGTCTGCCTTATGGGCCCGAGGTGAGGGCTGAGACAGCCCCTGGGACTCCTCATCCCCGCACACGGCTTGTGAGCCCCGCCTGTGCCCAGCCACTGTGGTCCTTAGCGAAGGGAGGAAGCAGCCTGTTTAGGCACAGGACCATCCTGGATCCTTCCACACAAGGGGATGACCCAGGCCTGGACACCGGGAGGCTGAAGGAGCTCCAGGATGTGGGAGGAGGGCCCTGTGTGGAATGGGGTTGGGGGCTGGGCCAGAGGAGAAAGAACAGGTCAGTCTGTCTCCACATCCCGCTGAGGCCTGGCGCCCTGCCCCTTGGCCAAAGCATCTGTCTTCCCTTCTCCCTAGGTGGACATATGGTCCCTGGGAGTGATGGTCATTGAGATGGTGGATGGAGAGCCCCCGTATTTCAATGAGCCGCCCTTGAAAGCCATGAAGATGATCCGGGACAATCTTCCCCCTAAGCTCAAAAACCTGCACAAGGTGAGTGCCCTGGGCCGACATTCCTCCCCCAGGAGAGAGATGCCTTTGGGGATACAGCTAGAAATAGCAGCCTCCCCGGGAATGGAGAGAGACAGGTGGACAGACAGACGCTGAGGAGGGGGCAGGGGGTGCAGCCCTGAGGAGGGACAGAAAGCAGAGCCGCGTGGGCCCAGGCCCTGGCGTCCTGCCCACTGTCTCCCCCGACCTTGCAGGTTTCCCCTTCCCTGAAGGGCTTCCTGGATCGCCTGCTGGTGCGGGACCCAGCACAGAGAGCCACAGCCAGTGAACTGTTGAAGCACCCCTTCCTGGGCAAGGCAGGCCCCCCCGGCCAGCATCGTCCCCCTCATGCGCCAAAATCGCATGAGATGAGACTGGACTGCCCCTGGCCCTTCCCCTGACCAAAGAAGCACCTCAGAGGGAGCTGCCTCCAGCCTGGGAGAGGGACTCGTCCACACCTCAAGCAGGGGAGAGGATCAAGGGGTGACCCCCCCCCCGGCACGCCTCCTGGCAGGTGGACTCTAACTGGATGGGCTTGGGCCTGGTCGTTCCATGGCTCCTTCAGACCCTTCTGGGGAACTCAGCTACGGAGCTTAAGTTTTGATTTTTGGGGAGCAAGGGCAGCAAGGGTCTCCTTTTGGGGTGGAGACCCCACCTCCGCCTCTGCCTCGATTCAGGGGCTGTTTGGCTTGACACTGGAAATCTGCAGGCCAGGAGAGCCTCCCCCGGCCCAGGCAGAGAGGTTCTGGGGCTCCTGGGAGCTAACCCTGCGGGAAAGGGCTGTTTGGGGTGGACAGAAGAGCCACTCAGCCCTCAGCTCGTGGCAGTGTCTTCCGTGCGTGGGCTGTCTCTGTCAAGAGCGTGTGTTTCTTGGGTCACCTGTGTTGTGTGTCTGTACATGTTTGCAACAGATGCTTGGACTTTGCCTGCCTCTGGGGCTTTTGTGTGTGTGCATGTCTGGCTGGCTGGTGTGAATGTATGTTGACATACTAAGTGTGTGGAAACCTGTTTCCTTTTCCCACCTCCAAGCCAGTTGGGAGGCCGATGGGGAATGCCTGAATTCGACTGCATCTGCCTGCCTCTCCCTCTGCTGATGTCTGATGACGGGCAGCTTCGGGGAGCCTTTCTCCTCTGGTCTCTGCTGAGAATACTACTGTGCTCCTATGGGACCCTCTTTTTAAAAAAAAAAAAAAGCTATTTATATTGTCATTTCATAACACACTCTTGGCCCTGGGCCCCATAAAGGGGTCCTCGCTGCAGGCCTGGAACCCCAGTTAGTTTTACAATTAAAATGTTTTCCTGCATTTCTGAGAAAAGTTGTAGCTGAGTGTGGGTGTCTGGGATGGGGCTGTGGGCCAAAGGGAAGGAATGTTGGAAACAAATCATTATCTTGTCTCTCCTTTGTGCCCCCTCCCCCCAGTGTAGCCAGGTGGGATCACCCTGAGATGAAGATGTGCAGTTGGTGGGGAAGGGGGGGAGGTTGGCCAGCTTCAGGAGCCCTGGCCCCAGGGCCTTGGGATGGTTTCCAGGAGGTCTCAGATGAGATCTGAGCTAACTATACCAGTCCTCTAAGGAGTGCAGTTGACATGACCTGGCCTCAAGATGGAGCAGTTTAGCAAAGAGGTGCCTAGTTCTTTAAGCCCATTCTTCCCAGTCTGAACCCTACAGTACCTTGGGGCCCCAACTTTACTCGTCCTTTGGCTCCGTGAGCTTGTAGGCTGACCAATGACCAGTGTGGGAGCAGGGGTTCTCTTTCCAGCTCAGTTCCTGGTGGTGCTGAGAGACACAAAGCCGCACGTCGTTAAGGAAGCCAGCGGCAGAACCATCCACCCCCTTTGGAGGTCGAGCGGTTCGGCTGGAGCCCATAGCTTGGTGTCCAAGCCAGGATGGATACAAACCCACATCTAGAGAGAGCTCTTCCCACTAGGCGATGCCCCTCATTCTCCTTGGTTGGGGGGGTCTCAGGCCAAGGCTTTCCTGAGCCTCAGGTTCTCCCTCCATGAAATGAGTGTTTTGGCCTAGATGTCTTTGAGATTCCTTTGTGCCTTGGGCTTCCATGAGGGAATCACTTTTTTGTGAGTCACACATTTTTCAAAAAGGTTCCCTACTAAACCTGTGTAATTAGCTAACCGACTCTGCCTGGTGAAATGGGACAGGCAGTAGGCCATGCTGGAGAGAACAAGCCATGTCCCCCTGTGTCACCCCCTCAGCAAGGAGGGGTGAGCCTGAGTGACCATCATGCTAGCCCCTACAACCCTAGATGTGCAGGTATCAGATGAGGCTGAGGCCACCATATGACCTGTCATCCCCCCCCACCCATGGCCCTGTCCACAGAGGTCCTGGCCCCACCTGGCTAAGGCCCCCTCCCTGGGCGGTTCCCACTGGCCGGAGCCCCAGAGCTTGACTGCATCTCCTTCAAGCCTTTTCTGCTGAAGCACCCAGTAGGCATTTCCTATTGATGGTTGATTGAGTAATCAACAAATAATTAAGCCATCATTAAAATGATTGGCTGACTGGAGAAGTGATTCACATGAACCAGTGATCAAGATCAGCTCCAGAAAGAGCGGCCCACTTCCGCGTCCTCAGTCCGGGGCTCTTTCCTGGCTTTTAGTGCCTTTTGGGTCACGGATTGGTCCCCTCTCCTACCCTGCATCTCTTCGCCCAACACACACATACACACTGTTTCTCCCTTGGCTCTGGCGCCCCCTGCAGGTTGTAATTGTCTTCACTGGTGGCACTCCTGTTTCACAAGTTGAGGGGCTGCTGAGCCCCACCACCAGGATGATGAGGAGAAAGAGCAATGGGCTTAGAGTCAGAAGACCCCGATTCAAATCATATCTTTGCTGTTTACTATGTTACTTTACACAAATGCCTCTTCTGGACCTCAGTTTCTCTAGTTGTAAAATGAGGCACTTGGGTTAGATAATCCCTAAATTTCCTTTCAGCTCTAATAGTTAATGAACTCCACTTAGTCTAGTAACTCCCCTTCCACCCCATCTTATTGCAGTGTGCCCCCACCCCCACCCCCCAAGACAGGTTCTGTGTCTACTGAGGGACTGGAAGGATGGATGTCTGAGTGCCTAGTAAATATTTATTGACTCACTGGCTGACCTTGTACTACCTTTACAAGGCTTGCTTTGCCTTGTGTATCCTGTGTCTCTGGCCTGCCCCCCTGCTTTCCCTCAGTCTGCCAATAGGAGGTGGGCCAGTCACCCTAACCCTGTGGGAAGGAGCTAAGGAAGGGACCTTGCTCTTAACCAAGAACTGAGTGGTTGCTCTACAGGCAGAACTGGAAGGAACCTTGATCCTCGATCCAGTCCAACTGGTTCAGTTTTGCAGATGAGGAAACAGAGGCACAGAGAGGTGGCAAAATTTGGCCAAGGCCATGTAGGTAGTAAGTGGCAAAGCAGAATTTGAACTCACATCCTGGGACTCTGCATTTGACAGTCTTTCCCCTGTGCATCCCCTGAGAAACCAAAACTTGAGGGGTTCCAGGGGCCCCAAGGTTAAGAGGTGGATAGGGAGCATATAGGCCTTTTTGTCTCTGTGTCTCTTTCTCTCCTGTCTTCTCTCCTCTCTGCTGTCCCACTCCATCTGTTTGTCTCTCTGTCCTTGTCCCTGGCTCGAGGCCCCTCCTTGCCCTGGATTCTTTGAGGAGGACACACTTTGCTTATTATATTAAATATGGTTCCCACCCATCCGGGTCCTTTTCTATGCTTTTCTTCTCTCCACCTCCACCTGTCTGAGCGGGGCGGGATGGTTGGCCAGCCCTGGGTGGGTATGTGTGTTTATGTCTGTAGTGGGTGGGGGACTTTGGGTTTCTCTACCAGTCCCTCCTCCCTCCCCACTCCTCAGTTCCTCACCTTCTGACACCCCTTGGTTTCAAGGCTTTAGTGATGAAAGCAGGAAATGGACTGGAGCCGGGATGCCTCTGAGGATCTTCTGAGGTCAGTGGGCTCCTTATTAATCCTGCCATTAGGAATGTTAACGAGGCTGATTGGCCTCATTAGGGAGGGCCCAATCCCAATATTAACCTCCTTAATTAGTCCTGCCTATCTCTCTCCCCAGAAAGGAGGGGACTGCCAGTATCCTCTTTCCAGGTCTGAGAAGGTCACAGAGCTGGTCCTCTGGACCCCCAAGGAGGAGGCAAAACTTGGGGGGGTTGGTCCCTAATAGGGCAGGGGTTAGAGAGAGGGGTCAGATGGCCTGAGTCTTTGATGGAACCTTGGAGATGGGGGAGGTTCCTCCTTCAGTTTTCTGAGAGGGAGGGGTCAGGATGAGGGGGCTGGGAGGACTGAACACTTAAATTCTCCAACCAGGTTTTAGGAGGCTGGGTCCCCAAAATAGGGCTAAGACTGGTCTCCGGAGCCCCTGAGTGGACAGGGAAGGGTTAGGGACATGAACTTCTGGGTCTTTCCCCACCTAGAGTAGCTCCTCCTTAAATACCAAAATGATGTGGCCCCACCTTCAGGAAACCCACAACAGTAAAAGATACAGAGAGAGATGGACAGACCGACAGACGGAGAGATGGATGGCCCTGCGGTGGAAGGAGGAACGACCAGCCAGCCAGATGGGCCGAAGGAACCACCGAGACCCCCGTCTCCCCAGTTTCCCCCCACGGGCTCCCTCGCCCCCGCCGCCTCTGTCTCCTGGCTCTATCCTCGGAGCTCCCCCTTCGCCAGGGCCATCGGAACAAGGCGCCCGGCAGCTGCTGTTGGACGAGTGGGGGCCATCCGGAGCGGAACTGAACCTGCCGGAGGGCCTCAGCTGGAAACTTCTCTACGTGCGGAGGCCGCTCTACCGCAACCTGCTGCGGTCACCGAACCCCGAGGGTGAGGAAGTGGGGGCGGGGCAGAGAAAGTCGGGGTGATGGAACCCGACGGATATACAGTGGCCGGCGCAGGGGACGGGACAGGGGCTGGGGCAGGGGAGCGGGGTGGGCTCGGGTTGTCAAAAAATGCCGTCTCTCAGCCTCACTGAGTCTCTCTGTCCCTTACATCTGTCTCAGCAGCTCTCTGCCTTAATTTCTGTGTCCCAGTGTCCTTATCTCTGTCTCCCTTTGTCTCTGTTTTTATCTCTGCCCCTACTTCCCCGTCTCTTCCAGTCCCCATCCCTGGATCTTTGTTTCAGTCTGCCCCTAATTTCCGTCTTTCTGCGTGATCCTTCGCGTCAATTTCTTTCTGCAAATATCCATCTCTGACAGTGCGTGTGTTTGTCTGTTTCCGTCCCGCCCCCGCCCCCTTCCTTATGCCTCTACCCCTTTCTCTGTGCCTGTCCCTTCCGTCTCTCTCTGTGTCCCGTCTTCTCTGTCTCTGTCTCTCCCTCTCTTTGTCTCTGACCCGTATTTATCTACGTCTCTAGCACTTTTCATGTCTGTTCTCTGGATCCATCTCTGTCCCTATTCCTCTGTCCTTACCTTTGTGTCTGTTTCTCCGTCTCTATGCCTGCCTCTCTGTCTCTCCTCTCTCCGTCTCTCCCTTTCCCTCTCTGTCTGTCTGTCTTTCCCTCTCTGTCTCTTCTCTCTGTCTTTCCTCCCTCTCTCTGTTTCTATCTCTCCTCCTTTCGGTCTCTCTCCCTCCCTCTCTGTTTCTGCTCCTCTCTCTGTCTCTCTTCCCTCTCTTTGTCTCTGTCTCTCCCTCTCTGTCTTCATCTCTCCTCTCTGTTTCTGCTCCTCTCTCTGTCTCTCTCTGTCCTGTATTTACTTCTCTCTCTAGCGCTTTTCACATCTGTTCTCTGGATCACCTCTGTCCCTGTTCCTCTGCCCTTGTCCCTCAGTCCACCTCTGTCCCTCTCTCTGTCTCTCTCCTGACCTCTTTCTCTCCTTGTTCCAGCTCTTGTTTTTCTGCTGTCTCAGACATCACCTGAATGGTTCCATTTTCTGATATTCTCATGCCTCTTTACTTGGAACAAACACCTTCACCTCCAACCCCACCCCTGCTGGAGGGGAGTTGCTTCTGACTTTGTTCTCGGCCCCAGGGCTCTGACTCACCCCGGTCCAGCCGGTCTTGCCTTGCCCCAGGGAAGAGCTGGAGGAGCTGGGACACTGGGATTTTTTTTTGGAGGGGGGGGATGCTCAACTCTGCGCCTTGGAGGGTGTGGGAATGAGGGGATTGGAGGATCTGTGAGTAAGAGGTTTGGGGAGAGTAGAGGCATGATTGAAAGGAATCCATCATGTGGATCAGTGACCAGGGAATCCATGGGCAATTAGCAATTAGCAGAGGACGAGGGGGTCACTGAGGGATCTGGGGGTCAGTTGAGGACTGGGAGATAACTGGAGGTCTGAAAGAAAGAGAGGTGGTTAGTGAGGGATGCTGTCAGCGAATGTTGGAGGGGTCAGAGGGCATGAGGGACTCCACAAAGGGTCAGTGAGAGGTCAAGGGTTAAGTGTAAGGTTAGGGATCATTGTTGGGGGTGTGGCTGTGAAGCTCTGACCTCTCCCTTCCCCGTTTCAGGCATCAACATCTATCAACCGCCACCCCCTTGTGGCCCGGCCCGGCCCCTGGAGACTCTGGGTAAGGGCCTCCCACCTTGGCAGACATGGAAGGGCCAGGGAAAGGGAGGAGGGGAGGCTACCTTCTCACCCTCACCTCTATACTCTTCCCAGAAATAGACCCCTGGGAGGGATGTGGTATTCCAGGGAGGAGGTTGGTACGTGCTTAGGTGCTGAAGGGCATGGGGCCCGGATCTAGCCCTGCCCTTCCTCCTTCAGGTAACTTCAGTGGATGGCAAATCAGCACTGAGAAACTGCTCCCCAACTTCAGGTGAGCACTCTGGGGCCTGGCAGGGCAGCCTACACAGAGCTACCTGTTCAGCCAGAGAGCAAGGCCATCAGGGGCCTTTCTGGTCTGGAGGGCAGGGGAGAAAAGGGCAAAGAAACCCGATGCTGGGGTTCTCATCTCAGAGGGAACGGGGGAGGGAGAGCACAGGCCTATGGCCCCAGGCCCCCCCCCCCAGCTCCCTCTTCTTGCCACCAGCTGGACGGTGAAGCAACAGTGTGTGGACCTTCTGGCTGAAGGCCTATGGGAAGAACTGCTGGATGACGAGCAGCCGGCCATCACCATCATGGACTGGTATGGGGTCTGAGAGGGCACGGGTGGGTGATGCACTGGGCGGCTCTGTCTGAGGAAGGGGGGCCTCTGGGGGTCCGGGAGCAGAATTCCCAGAGCTTCTCTCTCGCCCCCCAATCCCACCCCACCTCCAAGGTTTGAGGACAGCCGCCTGGACGTGTGTGTGTATGAGCTCCATGTCTGGCTCCTGGCCGCTGACAGACGGACCGTACTCCGGCAGTACCATGCTGCTCCTCGACCCTCTCCACGGGAGCCAGGTGGACAGTGGTGCCAGGTGAGAGCCTGCTATCTGTTAATGGGCTCCTCTCAGACACCCCAGAATCTCCCTCCTGCTCCCTATACTCACAGCGCTCTCATGTTCCTCCAGCACCCTCCACTCTCCCCACAAATTACCCCAGCTGTACTTCACAATGTCCTCACCAAGATTTTCTCACTGCTCCTCAATCCTAAATCATAGATTTAGAGTTACAAAGTCATCTAGGCTAACTTCTCATTTTAGAGAAGTGAGAAACTAATAGAGAGGGCAAGTGATTTACCCAAGGTGATACAGGGAATAAGTAGCAGCTAAGATTTGAACCCGGGTCCTCTAACTTAGGCAGCTAGGTGGCTCAGTGGATACAGGGCCCAGCCCAGAATCAGAAAGACCTGAGTTCAAATCTGGCCTCAGACACTCACTAGCTGTGAGACTGTGGACAAGTCACTTAACTTCTGTTTGCCTCAGTTTCCTCATCTATAAAATGAGGTGGAGAAGAAAATGGCAAGACATTCCATTATCTTTGCCAAGGAAACTGCATGAACAGCATTGTCATGCTGTGTCCCGTGGAGTCATAAAGAGGTGGACACAACTGACTGACCCCAAATTTCACACTCTTTCTACCATACTTCTTACACATATCCCCCCCGTATTTTCCCAGTGTCTTCTACAAAAATCACCCCTTGTTCTCCAAACATTCTCCTATGTTTCCTCCCAGTGTTCCCTCTGTGTTCTCCAATGTTTCCTTTCTCTCTCCCAATGTTATCTCAGCCTTTCCTCCCAACCTTCCCTCTAAAGTTTCCCTAATATCTCCTTCCCATTCTCTCCCAATGTCCCATAGCATCCTCTCCCAATGCCCCCTGTGTCCTCTCCCAATGCCCCCCAGCATCTTCTCCCAAAGTCCTTCTAGTATTCCCTCCTAATGTCTCTCTAGATAGCCCCCCCTCCCCCCCGCCAACCCTGCAACCTGACTGGGGAGGGAATGGGTAGAGAGGGCAGACTGGGAATTTGTCTGGTCTTTCCCAGTCCAGGAACGGTCCCTCACTCTATTGTCCTGCCCCTCTAGGTGTCTCACGTATTCAAACACTATGGCCCAGGAGTCCGATTCATTCACTTCTTGCACAAAGCAAAGAACCGTCTGGGCTCAGATGGGTTCCGGAGAACTCGGGTAACTGACTCCTCAGTGTCCCTACAGCTATGGAATTAACCTGTCTTCTCCCCCTCTGCCACATCTTTGCCCTAGTGACCCCATCCCTCATTCATATATACAAGGAACCTTCTGGTGACCTCCCCTCACTTTCCCTGAAGGATCTCTTTTTGTTTTAGTCAGGACATGTGATATAGTCAGAGTAGGGAACTCTCCTTATGGACACTCCCTCTGCCAATGTTACCAGACATCTTGTGTGTAATATATTGTCTGGGAGTTGCCTGAGACACTGAAAGGTTGACTTACCTGGGGTCACACAGCCAATATGTGTCAGTTAGAACTTGACTCCACCTGGCCCTCTACCCGCTGGGCTACACTTCCTTAACTCCTGCCTCCCCCCCTGAAGGATACCTTCCCTCCCCTCCCCCTACCCCAGTATATTGCTGAACATCCTCATCTTAGCCCAGATATTTTCTCAGGAAACCAACATCAATCCATCCCAAATATCTCCACCAAGGGACCTCTCATCTCCCCCTAAAATCTCTAGGTATTGCTCAAATCTCCTCCCTAGGGATTTATCTCTCCCAAACATAGCCTAGGAGTTCCAAAATATCTTCTCAAATATATTCTGGGGACCCTGCCTTTTCTCCCCTAAGCTCCTAAATGCCCCCCTCAAAAAGCCATCTCCAAAAGAATATCCCCTCAAGGATCCCCACATGACCCCCAAATTCTAAGGAACCCTTTATTTTCCAAAAGAAATATCACCATAGGGGCAGCTAAGTGATGCGGTGGGTTAGAGCACTGACCCTGGAGTCAGGAGGACCTGAGTTTAAATCCAGCCTCAGACACTTGACACTTACTAGTTGTGTGACTGTGGGCAAGTCACTTAACCCTAACCGCCTTACCAAAAAGCAAAAATAAATAAATAAATAATGCACTTAGGGTCATCTCATCTCCCTCAAATTGTCTCTTCACAGTGACCTGTTCATCATTCTCTCTCTTGAGTCTCTCTAATATCTCTCTCCTGAAAATCCCTCCAGAGATTTATTTCCCCTAAACAACTCACTAGGAACCCTTCATCTCCCCTCAAAATCATTGTCCTAAATATCCTCTTAGGAACCCCTTATCTCTCCCAGATATTTCCCAGGAACCCCATTATCTCCCTAACTACCCCTCACATTCCAAATATGCCCCCAAGTAATATCTTCCTTAAGTATCTCATATTTCCTCAATATTCCCTGAGGACCCCTCATCTTCACCCCAATATATCCCAGAGGGACACTGCCTTCCCCAGAGATCTCCCTGTGGGGTGTTTTTTAAATGTTTTTCCCTTGGAGCTCCTGGGGGTACCCCTTGGGACCCCCCAGTGCCTCTCCTCATCACCTATCCCTATAAAAATATCTATATTAAAGTGCTCTGGTTTATCTCTGTCTCTGTTTCTGTGTCTGTTTCTGGTCCCTGAATTAATTTGACCATCCCCTGGGGACCAAGCCGTACAAAGCTCTCAGACCTCAAGTGAGTTTTGACACTGAGCCCTATTGTTCCCAAAAAGCAAGAGGTAGTGTTGAGTATTTTCACAAAAGCTCTTTATTAAGGGGGTGGCAGCATCTGGGGCTGGTGTTCCCAGCTTGTTAGCAGAAGTGGGTAAGGGTGTAGAAAGCTGGAGCTAAGGACCTGGAGTGGGGAGGTGGGGGGAGAGGAAGAGGATCAGGTGAGCTGGGGGCTTCCTGGACTGGGTCCAAGCTGAATGCTTGCTCTCCTGGTTCACTCTCAGCTCAGCCTCAGCAGTCCAGGTCAGCTATGGTATAGTGAGGAGGGGTCCAGACAATGGCTTATGGGCTAGGGCAAGGGACCCAGTTGGGAGTCTTGGAAAGGATCAGCCACCTCAGTTGCCACTAGTGACAGCTGGAAACCGGGACTTGGGTTGCAGTAGGCAATAGACTGAACTGGGGGTTCCGGTTAGGGGCTGGGGCTCTTGGAGGTGGAATTCTGGCTGGGAGCTCAGTCTCTTGGGGGTATCTGCAGTTGGGGCACCAGAGCGCGGGCCAGGTGCTCACCCGGGCATCCCGCCGGCCCGCAGCAGCAGGTGGCAATGAGAAGGGCATAGGGTCAGGAGGCAAGGCTTGTTCTGGGTTGGGGAGGGGTCCTCGCGGGGAGCTCCCCTGGCCCTAGGACGGCTTAGTTACACTTGCAGTAGACTCCCCCGATGGCGTTGTTCCAATCTCCCAATAGTCCGCGGCGATACTCTGTTAGCCGAGGGTAGGCTCCCGCTGAGAACTTGCGGGACTTCCCTCTCTTGCCGCGGAGAGACCAGACAGTGAGCTCACAGCGCGTTCCCACCACCAGGGAGGAGGCGGCGTGGTACCAGCCCGCCGGCAGGTAGGGCAGGTCGGCGCCGGGCTCCAGGCTCAGCTGGGAGCCCGCGCAGCAATTCTCGTAGTAGGCATCACTCTTGTCATAGAGTCGGGCACACTCGCGAGTCCCGCCCTCGGGCTTCAGGTCAGCGGGCTCTGGACATCTAGTCCGTGCGCCTGGCAGGGCCCCCAGGAAGGCCAGCAGGAGAAGCGAAGGCACGAGGAATAGGGCCATGGTCAAAGACAGAGGATAGACAGGCACCTGTGGCCAGCGCTCCCCAATCTCTTTACAAAGAGCCTTGGGCGGAGAAATGGCGGGGAAGGGAAGAACCTGGCCTGGAAGAGATGAGGAACGGGGTGGGGTGGGGGCACGTGCGATGGAATCCCCGCACCTGGGAATTTTAACTTGACCCCTCCTGGCTGGGCCTCACATGCCCAGCACCCGGCTGGGCCCCACTTTCTAAGAGTGCCCGACCTCCTGGGTATCCGTCACCTGTGGCCAAGCCCCTGGGTCCCCACTCAGGCTCAGCCAATATTGACTGGACACCCTATTCTCTCCAATCTAATCTTCCAGCACAGGTGGTGCCTTCCCAGAGGCTCATAAGCAAGGCCAAAGAAGACCCACACTGCACCCCTGGCTCTGAGCAGAGCACCTACACGTTGAGATCTAGGCCACCACACATAGATACCCACATTTCCACAGTCCCACTTACATGCAATCACGCTACAGACCCACAACCATACACAGACCCTCAATCCCACCTGCTCACAGCCACACACAGACCCACAGCTACACACACACACAGACCCTCAGTCCCACCTGCTCACAGCCATAGAGACACACAGACCCATAATCCCATCTATTTACAGCCATACACAGACCCACAACTCTGTATACATAAACCCACAATGGCATTCACAAATCTCCAATCCCACCTGCTCACAGCCACACACAGACCCACAGCTCCACACACACACAGACCCACAATCCCACCTGTTCACAGCCACACACAGACCCACAACTACACACACACACACAAACCCACAGCCACATTCACACAGACCCACAACTACACACAAAACCACCATCACACTCACTGACAGCCACATACAGTTACACAGACCCATAGTTACACAACCACATACAGGCCTTCAATTTCATTGTAAATGATTTTATTTATTTAGCAAAATGTAGAAAAAATACAAAAGTACAAAACCATCCCTTGGAGTATGTGAGTGCTGGGATGGGGGGAATAAATAAATGGGAAGAGTAGTGTTGGTCTATAAATAAGGTTTGGAGCACATAAGTTCAGCCTCAGAGCTCAGGCTGGGCCTGGATCATCAACAGAGGTCCCCATGGGCCACACACTGGAGGTCTTGGGTCAGGAGTCGGAAGAGGTTCAACATGGCTGAAGCCTCCAGGCAGCCCTGAGATTCCTGATGAGAGTTAGACACAGAGTGAGCATTAAGGTCCTCTGGGGAATTCTGAGAATCCCTGGCCCCAAGCCCCACTCCTGCCTTAGTGAGAAACAGAGCCTCTGCCTGCCCAGACTCTGAGGTCCCTTTGACACCTCCCCTCCATCCCAGCATGCCATGGAAGCCCAGCTGTGAAGCCCAGTCCCCCTCATAACTCACTGTTTTCCTGGACTCACTGAGCCTATGCAGCCAGTGCTTCAAGCGGCCGGAAAGCTTGTGGCCTCTAGAGGGCAGGGGAGTAACCTGTGTGGGAAGAGGGTAGACTTAACAAAAGGGAAGGGGACCCAGGCATTTGATGGTTTGGGGAGAGGTGAAGGAATCCAGGTATTCCAGCCTCTCAGCCTCACTGAAAGGGAGCAAGGCATCGGGGAGACAGGGAAAGGCTATATGCCCATTGATGCCGGGGGAGCTTCGCACATCCTCCAGTACTTACACAGCTTTGGATCTCCTGGTTGATGTGGCTGAGGGTTTGTAGGGGTTGAGCCAGAACTCTCTCCAGGTCAGGGTTATCCATGGCTTTCAAGACCTCCAGAGTCAAGTTCAGTTCAGCCTTTAAGACTCTGGGACGATCTGATAGCTGTGAGGGGATAGATGAGAGGTGATATGAAGGAGAGGTAGATGAAGGGGACAGACAGGGTAGAGAAGATAGAGGAGGGGAGAGGAGAGGACATTTGGGAAGGGAAACTGGGGAGAAGAGTTGGGAAGGGAGACCTGGGGAGGGTACAGATGATGGAGAAAGGTGATGGTGGACTGGCAGGTGAGGAGGGAGGGAAGTTTCCCTTCTTACCCGTAATTGTCGAAGGTCCCAGTTCCTGTGGAATAATTTGGAGCTGCATTTCCTCTCTGTCTGAAGCATGGACGCCTCCTTTAGAGGTTGAAGAGGAAGAAGTTAAAGGTTTTGTGATTCTTATAGGTCCTGGAGTTTCACATAGCATAAGGAATTTTTGAGTAGGATGGAGGTTAGAAACACAGAAAGAAGTGGAATTCAAGAAGGAAAGATTATGGTTAGACCTAAGTGGGGGGGACGAATGTTAGACCACAGTAAAAGAGATCACAGGAAAGAGGCAGGGGGTGTTGCAGAGATTAGACCACTGGTGAGAAGGAGGGAGGCTAGAAAGTAGCATTAAAAAGGATATGAGGACCTCTCCCAGCCCTCTAGAAACTCACATAGGTATCCTTGGCCACCTTGAAGGCTTCCAGCTCCCGAGGTGAAAGAGACTTGAATTGGCTGATTTGACAGCTCCTCTGGGTCGGAAAGTGGTTAGGAGTCGGTATCAGGGGCTTCGAAATCACTCCTGACATCAGGACAGAAAACAGCATCACAAGAATGTTGGGAGTAGCCATGGCTCTTCAGAGTTAGCTCCACCGATGAATATGGAGACGGCCTCATCCTTGCCATTTTAAAGAGCGAAGCTGGAGAATCCCAATGATGAATGAAAAACAGAATCAGAAACCCCGCTGTGGCTCCCACGTGAAAAGGGAAGGGCCAGGTGTCCACAGGTGACTACAGGTATGGAGGGGCGGGTCCTAGGAAAGGGAAACTGAAAGCCGAATGAAACAGCCACAGGGGAAACTTGCTGCTCAGTGGGAGTCATTCCCCAGAGGCAGCTCTATCCTGGGCATTCCTCACTCCAACTTGGGTTGCCCTTTCACCTTTTCATGACATCTTCCCATCTCTTCTCCCCCATCTCTGTCCTCTGCCCATATCCCTGTTTTTTTCTCCTTGTCTCCCACTTCCCTTCTCTTTCCCCCTTGGACCTCTCTATCCTGACCTCCCTTCTCGCTCATTTCATCTCTCCCCTTTTTCTCTCTGTCTTAAGTCTCCTCCAATCTCATCTCTCCCTCCCAGCTTCCTCCTCCTCCTCTCCTTTTTTACCCTGTCCAATGTCTCTTAATTTCCTCCAGATCTTTCCCTTTTCCCCAACACCTCTTTCCCTCTCTTCCAATTTTATTCTCCCCCATCTCTTTCTCAATCCCTCTCTTCCCAGTCTTCCCTATACTGTTTTCCTCTTCTGCCCTCTCTTCTGTCCCATCCTCTCTCTCCATTCCTGTCTTCTCTTTTATCTTTCTCTTCCCTTTTCCCCTGTCTCTATCCATCTCTTCTCTTTTTCTCTGTCCTTTCCCACTTAATCTCTTTCTCCTCCCTCCTCCTCATCTTTCTACCTGATTCCATCTCTTCTTCCTCTGACCCTTTCTCTCTCCTTCTCCCCCACTTATTTCCCCTCCTCCCTTTTCTCAGGCCCAGCCTGATCCCTGAGGCTGAACTTATGTGTTCCCTTTCTCCCTTTCCCCCAGATTTTTTCCATTTCCCTGCCCATCATTTTCCCAATCTTTCTTCATCTTTGCTCCCTCCTCCTATCTCCCATTTCCTCCTTTCTCTCCTTCTTCTCCTTCCATTCTCCTTACCTCTTTCTTCATTTCTCTCTTCCACCCTATTCTCTTTTCCCCATCAATTCTGCCCTTTCTTCTCTCTCCTTCTATGTCTCCTCCCTCCCTCCTCTTCCTTTCCCCCCTACCTCCCAAGTCTGACATTTGCCTCTTCTCCAGCCTCCCATCTTTTTTCCCCTCCCCATGTCTCTTTCTCCTTTCACCATGTTTCCCCCCTCCCAACTCCATTTCTTTCCATCTATCCCATCTCTTCTCTCTCCTTTTCTGTCTTTCTCCCATTATCTCTTCTCCCCTTCCCCTTCTTCTCCTCTCTTTTTTGTTTTCTCCTCCTTCCCTTCTCCTCCCCCATCTCTTCCCTCTTTTTTCAGTCCTTTCCCAAGTTCAAAGGAAAGAGCTACACACCTGGAAGTCAAGAGACCTAAGATCTTTTCCCTGCTCTTCCCATGACTCTTTAGTCAAGTACCTTCCCCTCTGTGAGTCTGTGTGACCCAGAGCAAATCATTTAATTTCTCTGGGCTTCAGTTTCCTTATCCATAAAATAGAGATAATAATACTTGTAATACTTTCTTCACAGGGCTTTTGGGAGAATCAAATCAGATAGTGTATATAAAGTGCTTTGCAGTTCACAAATATATAAATGTTAGTTATTAGTATTGGGGGCCTTTGTTTCAGGGAGAAGGCTGAAGTTATTAAAATAATATTTTAATTTCCCAAAGTGATCTTTCCTGCTTTCTTCTTCCTGTACAATTCTGGACCCAGCTCCACTTGCAATGTATGCACAGAATATATATATATATATATATATATATATATATATATATATATATATATATATATATATATATATATATATACTGCTAGACAAGTTTTATACATTGCATGTCCAATTACACATCATAGTCTGAACAGTTGTCACTCTGCATCCAGTCAGCTTCTTTGGAGTGATCATGGATCTCATCTAGAAGGCTGAAAGAACCTGTCTCTTGAAGCAATGGAAACATCATTCCCAAGCAGGAGTGTCCCCAGTACACCATCTGTTGGGAACCGAAGCTAGATCTCTCCCATTACTTGATGTTAATGATCAGAGGGTCATTGAATAAGGATTCTTATATGATCTTGATGTATGAATGGGAGCCATCTTGTCTCTCTCCAGAGAGCTTACAAGAACATTTTGCTCTACTAAATGAAATGCTTTTTCTATGCATATGTATATGTATATATATGCATACATGTTTACATGTAGATTTTCACTAAACAATAAGTGGGATCTTGTATTTCCTACACATCTCACTCAACTGTGTACTGTGAAAGATATGGTTGATCCCTTTTGATTACCACTGTTCCCCTCTACTGCTGTCATCAATAATTCCCAAGGGGTGTGTGTGTGTGTGTGTGTGTGTGTGTGTGTGTGTGTGCGCGCGTGTGCACACATGCAGAGGATTCTCATAAAATATTCATATAGATAGGAAAGTAGGCCTGCCTATGAGTTGGTAGTGACCGATGTTCTCTTTTGGTCATGTTTTACTTGGAATGCTATGTTCTGAGATGTTTTGCTGAGGCTTTTTTAATCTTCCCCCTTGGTTTCAGATATCTTGGGAAGCATCCTCTCAAGGTCCTCACAATTGGGTTGCCTCTAGCCCAGTCCTCTTTGTTTTCTTCTGTGTTTTTTCCATTTCTTCTCTTAGCACATCTAGTACTATGCTGTTAGAGGCCAGATATAGCTGCTCCACTGTCCTTGATAGTGAAAAGATGTAACCCATGCCCATACAGTGCCTTTGGGTATGATTGTTTGAGGATGGAGAAAGAGGGAACAACCCAACAATGTACCCTTCATTGAGTGTAGGAAACAGAAATTCAGGGGGTGTGGAAAACTGCCATGGTGAGTTGGAACTCCAAGACAAGAAGCCTGAGATTGGAGGAGGGAAGGGAGACTGTTGCTGTTGCCTAAAATGGATTTTCTATCTTGTCTTCTTTGATCTCAAGAGAGATTGGAGATGTGGGGGGTGAGGCCAGTTGTAGGAACTTGCTATGATCAGGACTGGCCTGGGAGAGCTAGGACCACCAGAGTGGATAATGACAGCAGCTGGGACAATCAGGACCAGTGCTGAGGCTAGCATGCAGAGGTTAACTTGGTCCAGAAAGCCAACTATAGAGGGGCCAGTGTCCCAAGGTAAAGGTGGACTCGTGGCTAGAAACTTCAGCTTTTGAAAATCCCTTTATTTGGGAAGGAGGTAGGGACAGCCATCTACCTCCCTCTCTTTTCACATCTTCCACTAATCATAGTCTTGACCATGAGATGGGGTCTCAGACATATAACCCCTCCCCCACATTCCCCACACATACACACTTGATCTTTTCTATGACCTGCAGGGTCAGGGTGTAAGTGTTTTGAAAGTGTCACTCTGACATCTCACAAGAACATCAGAAAGGCAAGGAAAAGGGAGTTTGGGGATACATTTGGGATACCCCAAGTAAGCACACTGAACCTCTTTTCCTACATTTTTGTTACGTTACATAAATAACGTGGCCATAGGCTGATGATGCCATGTGCCTTACGAATTGAGAGGGAAGAAAGAGGTCATTTCTATGGGAAAGTAAAGTCCAGTTGAAGATTTGGGGGCTCTGAGCTATGGGCAAACCAATGATTTCATATTTTAATTTTTTTGAGTAATATTTCATAATCCTCAAATCTAAAATCAGAACCTGCCCAGAATAGATTTTCTTTTGGTCATGTTTTCTTTTGGTTTACTTGTCCAATTGTTTAGAGCCAGGCTGCTTGGTGGTGTGAGCGAGCCTGGTGGGCATGGTGCCAGAGAGACCCTGATGAGACCACTTGGTTGGTGACTTGAGTAGAGCACCATCTGGTGGACAATTCAAACATTATGCTCCCTCAGAAAAATGAACCAAGTGATCCTGATTTCCTGTAGGGTGGCATAGGCTTCTCACACAGCTCTCACATGGAGTATCTACCAAGTGTCACACAGAGTCTGCAGGTGTCACGTACAGATATTTACACGTCTTTCTCAACTTTAACCTTTATGTTATCTTCCTTCCAATTTCATCTTTAAATGCCCTCAGGATAAATTTGTTTACTCACCAGTTTGTCTCTCTAAATTTGTTTTTGCTTCCTCCACTTTTCACTGCCTCCTGAGGCGACACTGCCCAAAGTCTCCCATAACATTTTACGGTTAATATTCTAAAACTGGTGCTGCCCTGGGCTGCCGTATCTCTCCCACTTGGCAAACAGATCAAACACTTGCTGAATTAAGTGGTTCATAGGCTCTTTTGGTCTTATTATGACACTTGATTTACGCAGGCTAAAGTTCTCTAAGAAATTGTTACAATCTGGGTCAATGTCCATTCTTCCATCCATTTCCCACTTTGGGGTATCAATAACTCTTTAAAATGGACCAGGCTGAAGTTGCTTTGATTACCCATCATATTTTTCCCAATTTTAAAATAATTTTAGATTTGTATTTATAACCTGTGCCCCAATAGCACCCCCTACCCCCAAATTGTAGGCTCATGTGAAATGGTTCTAATCCCAAGGACTGGCTCCAAAGAAAGTCAGTTTTGGTTTGGTTTTTTTTTTAATCTTCCCCATCCCCACTTAGAGTTAATCCAGGAAAAACTCCAAAATAAATCATACCTCATGACTCAGTTTCCCTAAATATGGGTAATAGAGTCTCCAACCCACACAGATACTCAGTGCTCAATATAGGCATTAGAGATGGGGTAGCTTTTATTTGATCTTATAGAAAACAGACATAAGATGCTAAAGACTTACAGGAGCAAATGAACCAGTACAGAAAGAGAAAGCTCATCACCTCCCCCTGGAAAGGAGCTGAATTAATTTGGTGTTGCTTTCAGGGCTACCATCTGTCATTCCAGTGAGCACCTCTTAAACCACTGAGTCCTACACAATCTCCTTTTTCGTTCTTTTTTTTTTAAAGGCAATTGGGGTTAAGTGACTTGCCCAGGGTCACACAGTTAGTAAATGTC